ATACCCCCAGTTGACAACCCCTGGTTTACTGCTTCCAGCATCTGGAAAAAGTTCCAGGCAGTGGTTTATTCATAGATCTCTGTTGGCTTCTGTTTTCATTTATTTTTCCACTAATCTCTGTGCAGCACCAGGACACCCTAGCTTCAAGCACAGACTAGGATTTCAGCCTATCAACCTGCATCAAGTGCTTTGAGATCCCTGCTGGGAGGGGCAGTGTGACATCTGTGAACCTATTCCAGCTGACTCTTGGTTTGGTGCACAGGTTATAATTGCAGGCTCTCGGCTTCCACTGCATGCATCTCACCCAAGAGCTGTGAGTCAGTGGAAAGCCAAGCTCTCAGTCAGCACAAAGGGCTCTTCCTGTTTATGTCCTACTACGTCAGGGGTTGGCCACCTCCCTAAGCCCTTACAAAGCAATGAGCTCACAGGATTTCCAACCATCAGGGAGAGTGCCCTGCTCACCTCTAACTCAGTGGTTCTCAACCTTTTCTGTACCAGGACCCATTTGTAAACATCAATGACCAGTCTCCACCCAGTGCCCCCAACTCCTAAACCACTGCCCCTGCCCCCAGGCCAGGCCGCAACTGCACCAGCCTGCAAAGGAAAAGCCACAGTTTCCCATGTGTCTATCCTTTAAAGGAGAACCCATTTTTAAAGTTTGTTTGAGACGCTTTCATATATTCTTGTGACCCCCTTTTGGGTCTCAACCCACAGGTTGACAAACATTGTGGTTTAACTCACAGAACTGCCTCCACCAGGACCTGCTGGAGACTTAGCTCCTGAGGGAGCAAAGCTTAGTCCAGCCCATCAGTGCGATGATGACAAGACTGATGGGAATCTGGCTACCAGGGGAATGCCCCCCACCACACACACACACACACCCCCCCCCCACCCCACACACACCCCCACCCCCCCCCAAAGCAGCAGGTAATGCCCTGAAACCAGCTACCAGCTCCGATATGCTGCAAAGCACTTACCTTCTTATCACTCACCAGGTTCATGACACAGACCAAGGGACCCTGCCTTGCACCAGCTCATGAGTGCTCAGCCTATGGGTGAAGTAAAGGGTCTGTACATAAAGCACATGTTCCCCTTTGGGGCTTTGCTGTGGTTCACTCTTTGCCCTGTTCCTTGTTCATTTTCATCCTGCGGTTCTGAAACCAGATTTTGACTTGCCTTTCACTCAGGTTGAGGAGTCTGGCCACTGTGTCTGCAATCACTGGTGAGGTACATATTGAACAAAAACTCCTTCTCTTGTACCAGGGTCTGGTATTTCATATAGGGGCACTGTTTTTTTCCTAGAGGAGCAGGCATTAATAATTAAATTAATAAAGAATAAATAATATCATGCATGAGCCAGATCAGGGCCATGTGCCTCCATGCTTTCATACCAGAGACTATCCATCTGTCTGCCTCTGCCCCCCACCAGAGGCATATGGCCACACACACAAAAAGAAATGCCCACTAAGTTCTGCACTCGCAGAAGAGGCCACATGAAAAGCATGGATGTTTGATGCACCCTGGTATATAAAAGTGTGGAGACACAGGGCCCCGATCCAGCCCACACATGAGCATGTGCTAGACTTTCCAACTGTAGGTCTCCCCATAGAATCGAGAGTGGTGAAGTTTAGCACTTGCTCAAGTGTGGCCAGGATCGAGGTCTCCACGTGCGTTGCTGCATGGCTGTCTGTCCTATGAATGCAACACCTACACAGAACAAATCATGCCTCTGCAAGCATGCAGCACTGGCCGCAACTTTCTTTTTTTTTTTGCACAGATCTGTCCATCCTTTCCTACCAGCATATATTTCAGGGTACAAATGTATACACGGATTACTTCTGAATAAAGCCTTTAATAAATCATAGCCAAAAAAAAAAAAAAAAAGAGAGAGACAAGTGGCAAGAAATAGCCCTGTTACAGTAAGGGCTCAAGGACTTCTTCCCTGTGATCTGGTCAGTATCATCAAGAGGGCACATGTGATCCCATCCAGGAGGAAGCAGGTTGTCCTCATGGGACATCGCACCACCAGGTGCCCATCCATCAAAGAGTCTCCAGAGCTTGGAGTGGGTTCTTGCCCATGAGGGGCTGAATTGCAGCAGGGTAAATCCCAAGCAGCAGCATACAGGAGCCTGGGGGCTCCACTTGCCTCTGCAGCAAGAACTAAAGTAAGTTCTTTAGTGGTGCCTCACCCTATACCACCCATTTGTGCCATAGCTGCATTCAGAAACCTGGACAGTCAGACCTGAGCTGAGTCAGAGTCCCTAGCTGAGTCAGAGTCTTGCCAAAATTTGCACTGCAAATCAGGGCTACTCAACCCCTGACCTGTGGACCAGATCAGGCTCCTGGCGCTGCATCATTTGGCCCACAGGACTCCCCACGGGCCATGGGCTTATGCGCTAGATCAGGCACCCAGGGCAGCACAAGGCCCAGTCCTGAGGCATGGGGCTGGGTGGAGGAAGTACAGGGCCCCAGGACTCGATCTCAGTGTGTCGGGGCAATGCAGGATCCGACCCAGCCTATGGACCAGCCCCACAGGACCAAAACATTGAGCAACACTAGTCTAAATGAACACACCCAGTGGGGAAACTCAGGCAGACATTAAACAACTGGCCCAATAACTCAAGTCTATAAGGGCTAGAACCTGAATTCAGCCCTTGTCAGTCCCAAGCTAACATCTTCACAAAACCATCTTTTCCTAGAGACAGACACCCGGGCTGGGCTGTGCCCATGCGCCCCCCTCTGGTCTCCCACCTCTCCAACCCTAAAAGCGACACAAGCCACTCAATCCCAATGCGCATCCCCTGCTTCCAGTGGTCCCAGCTGGTGGCCAGAATGAAGAAAGCCTCTTTGGCTGAACAGAGGGAAAGCTCGGGCGATAAAAATAGCCGTAAAACTTCGTTTCTCTCAGCTGCTTCCTCTATTACATCAGCTTTCTTCAGTGCTGTTCATCAGCCCCAAAAACCGACGTTATTGCGTTGCATGCTGTGCATATTAAAAAATACACAGCCTTGCACCCTTCCCTCCCATTCCTGTTACTACACCATGAAATACCCCAAGCCATTAGACTTCTGAAGGAAACTGGTCTGTAGTTAAATAGGACTGCGATTCAATTCCCAGTTCCAGGCAATCAACCCCCTCCTCCCGTCTGACTCCACCCTGTTTCTCACCATGCAGCACAGATTTCCCACTTCCTTCTTTTACTGTCTGTTGACTTAGACCCAAAGTTCTTCAGGTCAGGGGCTATGTCGCCCCAAGTCACTTCCAGCTCAGGCCTCAATCTTGCTATTATGATACAAATAAAGTGATTGCATTCCAAGATACCTCAATGAAATGGACTCCAGGTGACTGGGTACCACGATATCTTTATTTTAACCTCTCCTGCGAGTGTGTGTCAAAATAAAACTGCATAACTGGTCCCAACCCACACCTGCTCCCCAAGAGCTCCTTCCCAGCTGGACCCTGCAAAAGATCATGGCAGAAGAGAAAGGTACTCCACCTGGGAAGGAGGAACCCCCAGCACACCTATAGGTTAGGGAGTGTCCTTCTCAGCAGCTCGGAGGCAGAGAGGGATCTTGGAGTCATAATTGACTCCAAGATGAACATGAGCCGGCAGTGTAATGAGGCCATCAACAAGGCCAATCGCACCTTGTCTTGCATTAGCAGGTGCATGACTAATAGATCAAAGGAGGTGATGCTCCCCCTCTATGCAGCACTGATCAGGCCACAGTTGGAGTACTGTGTCCAGTTTTGGGCACCACACTTCAAGAGGGATGCGGGGAATCTCGAGAGGGTCCAGAGGAGGGCCACTCACAGGATTAGTGGCCTTCGTGACAGACACTCCGGGGGAAGGTTGAGAGAGCTGAATCTCTTCAGCTTTCACAAGAGACGGCTGAGGGGAGATCTTGTGGCCACCTATAAATTTATTAGGGGAGGTCAACGGGGAATAGGGGAAGTGCTATTTACTAAGGTGCCCCAGGGAGTGACTAGGAATAATGGGTGTAAACTAGTTGAGAGTGGATTTAGGTCAGATATTAGGAAGAAATTTTTCACAGTAAAGGTAGCCAGGATCTGGAATGGGCTTCCAAGAGAGGTGGTGCTATCACCTAGCTTGGAGGTCTTCAAGAGGAGGCTAGATAGTCACCTGGCTGGGGTCATCTGACCTCGGTCCTCTTTCCTGCCAGGGGCAGGGGGTCGGACACGATGATCCATTGTGGTCCCTTCTGACTCTGCAGTCTATGAATCTATGAAAGGGTTGTTACTGGACACTGGTCAATAGAAAAAACTACAGGATTGAGTGTTTTCCTTAAGTATTTTCATTGAACTTTCCTGCAACTAACCAGGACTCTGAATATGCCAAAGAGATGACAGACACTGCCTGAACTCTGCTCCACTGCTCTGGTTTCCAGTGTTCAGTAATAAGGCATGGGAAGTGCTCACATCACAGCCTGACGTGTAACAAATCATGAACGCAGCGGGAAAAAGATACAGATTTTCCTTATGAATCAAAGGATGCCAAGACCCCAATATTCCTATAAACCTTTGGGGGCTTCTGCTTGGTGCTGGAAATAGACAAATTATTCCAATTTCAGTATAGGGTAGAGATCCCCAGTTGGGTTTGGGGCTCTGCTATGCCAGGCACTTTGAACACAGCAAGACGGTCTTTCCCAGCTCCTCCCAGGGCAGGATGCACTGCTGTGAGCTGGCCACCTCTAATGTTTAGCAATGTACAAAAATACAATATAAAATGTTTTCTAAAATGCTCCACTGCACATGTTTAGTATGCATCTGCCAGATGCTGCCCATATGTTTAAGAAACAGCTGGACACACAAGTCTACACCATACACAACACACAGATAAAGAAAGACATTATCCCCTTACACCACCACACAGTGATCTGGGCAGCAAGTGGCAAAGCTCAGTGAAGACCAGTCCCCAGACCCTTTCTCTGCAAAGGAGGCAGTAATGCAAGCAATGCTACGAATAGATGACAAGACAGTGATTTTTCCAAAAATTAAATAAGGGCAGATTTAATCAGGTATAAAATACAAATGTTATAAAAATACAGAGTGGGGGATTTAAACATCATCTTGGAAACACTAAAAAGCCCCACTAGATGCCAAGGTGGGAGGCTGCAATAAGAGGGCTAGGCCTCTGTGAAGGGGTTTGTGCAAATTCACAGGACAGGCATAGGTCATTAAAAGCACTTAATTGAAAGGCTTCATTATGGGGCTAGATCCAATGCTCACTGGAATCCATGGATGCCTTTGTTTTGGGCCAGGCCTGATGTCACCCCAGTTGAAAAAGAATGGACTCCCCCTTGCAGTGAACTCTTGCAATACTCTGTGCTTATACAGTTTTCTTCACCCACAAACTGCAGGTCACTCTACAGAGGCAGGCACTTGCCAAGAGAAAAAACTGAGGTACAAAAGGGCTGTGCGTTTTCCCTTCAGTACTCATCCGTAGAACCAGGCACCCTGGCCATCCTAACCACCAGCCCTGTGCTGCCTCTAAAGTGAAACTGAATCCAGATGAGACTGAACTGCTGAGTTCACACTTGAATATGCTGGAGTCTGGATTGGGCGCTGGATCCCAGTCCCAGAACATGCTGATCCAGTATTGTTCTCTCAGCTGATGATGTAACAGAACAGAATGGACCATTGCCACAGGGAACATCTGCTCCTTGTGGGTCAGAAATGGTTTCACAGTAACAGAGCTCCCCATAGACAGCTTTTCCCAAGCCTTGTTCATCTCCCCATCCCCCTCCATGCAGTTTCTTCAGCCTCAGACCAGATCCTGGTTATTGTACCAAGTTCAGGAATCAAGGCAGGCAAGCAAAAGCAGCTGAGCCCACCCTTTCCTGCTTGCATGCTAAAGTACACAAGACTGTCTGGCCCTTGATTAAATGGGCTGAGGGAAAGCACCAAGTTAGGAACATCCGGTGTGCACTGTTCAAGGAATCAGCCTGAAGTCTTCAAGAGGCCACCAGCAGCAAGGCAGCAAATCCCAAACACTGTCAACGTCTTGGAGACAAGTACTGCTTAAGTGCAGAGCATAGCCATGGCAGAGCATAGTGGTGCTGGGTTCAAAGTCCTGCCTTTCCCCTCTCCTTCTGCCACCCCATCTCTGAAGAGGTAAGGCATTTTCCATTTACCAGGATCTGGAGGAAAAGCAGAGGAGATGCACTTCCTTTCACAGAACCCTTAAAATCTGCATGTAGACTCTAAGGCTGCATTAAAGAACAGGGCAAAAGTCCCCAGCTCTGTCCCTGCCATGCACCTCGATTTCAACCAGAGATCTCTTCTTCAGAGGTGACCTCCAACCAATCCTCTTGGAAACAGACTGGAGGAGATCCCCCTCCCCTCTGCAGATATGGATCCTGCATCCGCTCTGGAATGTAAGAGACCTTCAAGATCCAAGGCAGATCCCCATACTTCCTCTGCAGAAGAGACTCCTTAGAGAGAGGTTCAGGAGAGAGGCTGTCTCCCCTACGAACCTGTGATCTACATGACTTTATCCGTATCCAAGCCTGGTTTCGGCAGGCTTAAAAGGAAAGTCCTGGCTAAGTCTCACATGTATAAAAAAAATAAGATGCTTGAGAGTTCTGTACTGTTCCGTCATGTCTCTGGCCAGATGCATCAATTTGCCGCCACTTGAGACTTCATCCACTCCAAGCCAGCTGGCAGGCTGCACACAAGAGGGGAGAACATACATCAGTAACAATGCTCTGGATTCACAGCATCTGTTGGGCCAGCTCAGAGACAGCATCAGCCCCATGATATGCCTGGAGGAACAGACAAGGAGGAAGGGGGAAGGGAGAGGGGGAGTGGAAGTGATTGGCCAAATCACTAAGCTCTAGACCACATTGCCCACCTCCAGATCAAGAGCAGGACCCTGCATGCAACTCAAATCCCTGCTGCACACTCCCTTCCCTAGGCTGACAAAGTCACCTAGGCCAACTCATCCCCTACTTTAAAAGTTAGCCTGAGCTATTGAAAGCCAGGCCCAGCTCCATTGTTCCACCCTGACCTACAGCTTCCATCCCAAGGACTTTTCAGGGAGCCCTTATCATTGGCAGTGCTGTGCACAAGGCAAACAAAGCTCAGGAGAGCAGGCTAGTGATCTGGCTCCTCCCCTGAGCAACAGCAATTCACAGGCTCTGGGAATTCTGCCAGGAATCAGGGCCCCATTGGCTTTGTACTATTTAAGATCCTTGAGGCAGGATCTTCTGCCGGTCGAGATGAGAGGTGCTTACACAAAGTGGAATTAACAGTTTCAGCTGAGCAGTGACTCACTGCTTGTTTCAGGCCCTCGCACACAGTCAGCGCTACCTGTGCCCAGGTAGAGATCAACTTACATGACACACTCCGGCTTGACACATGAATCAAGTAGACCACACCCCACACCAGCACATGGGCACAGGCTGAGTAATCACTATACCAGGGAGCTACTCAGAGGCAGCCAATGGCCACGTGCCCCCATGACTGATACTGGGAGAAGCCACGTTGAGCACATCTGACAGCACCTGAGCATCCCAGGAAAGGGTATCAATGCTTGGGGCTTTCCTCTGAAGCACTCAAAGTTCTTGGGGGAAAAAATTAAGTGACAAAGCTTCAGAACTTCTGAGTCCCCATTTTACAGGTGGAGACACTGAATCACAGCACCTAAGTGGCTTGCCAACATGAACTCTCAACATGAGTTGAGAGCAGAACCCTCTGCTCTAACCATTGCTCCCCACTCTAACACAGAAATAGAACCCAGGAGTCCTGCCCCCCCACCTCAAATCAGCTGCATTATTGCTTTGCTTGTGTTCTGCCCTTGGGAATCTCAACTGAAACCTATGCAACTAGCTCCTTCCTTAAAGATCTTAAAGAGCACAAAGCCAACTGGACCCCTATTATAAGACAGTGAATTCCCAGAACCTGGAACTGCTACACTAGTGCCTCCTAGCTAAATGACTGTCTCTTCCACACACAATACAGATGCTGAAGAGTTGGCTAGGACATTTAGACATGAGTCATCCCAAGTCAGGGGTGGGATGTGCATCCTGTCCAGAACATATGTAGAAATGTGGCTTCATCCTGTGCCCTAAGCACCTCTCTGGATGCATCAGGCAAATGTAAATACACACTGGGATTTGGGAGGGCCCTGTGCCTGAGAACCAACTGAACTCCTCATATAACTATGCCCGTGTAACTTTCCTACAGAGGCACTGCAAGGGCTGCACAGAAGTCTATATCAAAGCAAGGGAGCAAAGGAACCCATACAACCGACACTGAAACAGGCCAGGATTCCTCCAGCCAAATGTCTCAAATCCCAGAGCAAATGGAAAGAAAACAGGTAAATCAAGCCAGAGTGGATGATTGCAGAATAACTCACTGAGGACAAAACTTCCCTTTGGGCCAGCCAATGACCTGCTAATGGCTTGACACAAGAGAATTTGTAGCCACAGACACTCTCATCTGTTGAATGTGACTGCTGATGTGCTGGGTCTAGTCAAAAAACAGTCCTCCACTCCCCTTCGAAAATTATTTTCAAGTGATTTTGGCTGTTGGAATATGTCAATAAACCACAAGAGTCCCTCACAGGATGTGCAGTTCAGACACCTCATGCTCCTGTTCATTTCTACAGGCTGGGCTTCCTAGTCAGACTATACCTCCTGTGGTGCACTGGTCTCCTGACAGATGAGATCTAGTCCAGTCGGAGGCTAGCCTAGAGAGAACAGGGCATGACACCACCGAATGACCCCATTTCAACAGGCACTGAGGCAGCGTTTCCAAAGCAAAAAATGTTGGGTTCAAGGTTTGATTTTGCAATGAAAACAAAAACTTCCTGAAGGCAGACCCTTACAAAATCATTCCATCAAAACACCAACTGAGCATCAAAATCATCTTAGATAAGATCTTTCCAATCATCTCTGTGTCTCACCCTTTTCTAAATGCCTCCACGTGTTCTACCTTGCTCAAAGCAGTGGCAGAGAGTCCCACAGGACATATCAGAAAGCAGGAGGGGTACTGGTCACTGCCTCAGTACAGTCAGTCAGCTCAGGAGCTTACTTACCCTTCCCCTGTAAGGGCGCAGCAGCCTTGGATGTGCCATGGGTGGTCCTTGATGGAGCTGAGCATTAAGAAACTGGAGATCTCCAAGGCTGTCATTGAATTCTTCACATCCTGCTTGTTGGCAAATATCAAGACAGCTGCATTCCGCAAGTCCTGGGGAAAGAAACGCAGCCCTTAAACTCCATGCCTGCATTTAGCCCTATTCCCTTCTAACATCTCAGAGCCTGACAGTTCTTAAGGACAGGAAAGCAGTTCTGGGGGTGCCATCAGGAAGACAGATAAATTTTCAACGAAGGGAGCAAGATCTTGAGGCACCATCCTCTGACTGTCAGGGGAAAGTTTCCTGCCACCGGGGGCATGCTTGGGGGATATTAGTGGCTCTGTGACTCCTCCAGTCTTCCCTAAAGTGACAGTACCAGGTACCACAGCAACAAAGTATGTAGAAGGTACCACACTAGCTTGGTTTCATAATGCAGTCATTGGATGGCAGTCCCAGCTCAGCCTGCCAGCACCACATAAGTTCCTGACTATACTGGAAAGACTGGAATAGTTGTTAGAGGTGCTGGAGTTGACCACAAAAGGGATTTCAAAGGCCTTGTCAGAGCGATGTACTGATGCTAGTTATGAGCGTCAAATATCCATACCCATTCAGTGCCCTAGCCACTGCACTGACAACCAGGAGATCTGGGCTACCGTCTCAGCACTGCCACTAGACATCAGACGACAAGTCCATCCCCTTGTTTTTCTTGCCAACCTCCATCTGGTCTATTCAGACTGGCAGTTTCTCAGGGACAGTAATACAGCCCCAATACAAGGGAGCCCTGATCTCCATCAGGGAGGGCCTCTTGGCCATCTCACACAATAAGCTGCAGCACTAACACAACTTCAGAACCCCGTTCTGAAGCAATCCCTGCTCACAGGGGGAGGGGAGATTCTGACACTACTGTATTCCTCTGCTCTTCCCCCCCCCCGCCCCCCTCCGCCCCCCACGTCCTTGGTCTTTCTGTTGCAAAACAGACATTAGTGAACTTAAAAACTGGGTTTGGGCTTGGGCTTGACAGACTCATTCCACATGTGGCATGGAGCCACCAAATAAGAGATCAAAATGCTACTGTACAATCCATCAGCTCTGATGTGGGTATTTTGAAGTCCCTGACCGCAGCAGAGACAGCTCATGGGTGTCTTTATACGCAGGGGAACAAGTGTCAGGGCAGGATCCCAGGGTTACTAGAACTGAAGCTACCTACATAAAGTAGGCCAAGCATCTGACAGCAAATGCAGTGGATTCACTTGCAAATATGATGCAATGGTATTGCTCCTGATCAGCATGCAGGACCCCGGCACAAACCACTAAACCGGAGGTACTTGGCTCCGTGCACTGTGGTGGGATGCAGCTGCCAACTCACCTCGTGTGCCAGCATCTTGTACAGCTCCTCTTTCGTCACGGTCAGCCTCTCACGGTCAGTGCTGTCAATCACCAGGATGACAAACTACAAGGGGGAGAGGGGGAGATGTCAATCAAACACTTTCCACACTGAAGTCCCAGGCCAGGTCAGAACTGCTGGCAGAACTAATAGCTGATAATATCCTTTGGCCCAGCAAATCTCCCCTGCTGGTACCTCACACAAAAAACATCTTGCGTCTAGACAGGGAAGTCCTATGGAAGACTGGGGAGCTGGCCTTGCATCAGATATAACAGGGAAATGAGACTAGGTAGTCTTTTGGTTAAGGGTTTGGACTCCAGACATCTGTGTTTCGTGCCTAACTGCCACAGACTCCCTGTGCAACTTTGGTCAAGACCCCTAGTCTCCCTTTGGCTCAGTTATGTCTAAAGTGGGAACAATCCTCCTGTCCCCATTGTCTGGTCTATTTATTGCACAGATCTTTTGATGCAGGGGCAGCTGAACTGTACAGATTCAGTATAATGAAACTCCAGTATCAGCTACAGCCTCTGAGCCTTACCGGAACACAGGAACATGGAACAGGAAGCGACTGGCCACATCAGAGTCCAGCTCCTTGTGATCAGACTGAACCACAGCCACATTCCAAGGAACACCTTAACTTCCCAGTACAGCCCATCCTTAATCACCAAGCACATTGCTCTGTGTTTGTGCCAAGCTCCTCAGGATGGTAGTAGTACCTCAACTAGCTGCTGTGGCAATACAAACTGACTGTATGACACCAAAACCCAGACTGCAGAACCCTTGGACAATTAACTGCAATCTCAACCTCTTTAAGCTTCAGATTGGTGTCTGGGCAAGATCTATTCTGAATCAAAAAACAACACACAGGAGAGGGCAGGAAAACAGACACAAAGAAATTCCAGAACGAGTTATGTCAAGAATGTTGGCTGGGCACAAAGGACAACAAACGTGTCTGAGCGCGGATCCCCGCCTTTCTCTGCACTGCCAAAATCTTTGGGAGTTCTCACCAGAGTGATTTCCCCAACCCTGCCCTGCCTGTTATAATAGTCTGATCCTTTTCCAAACCAAAATTTGGGACTTCTGGGGAAACAGCTCTGTTCAAAAAGAAACCTTCAGGCTAGATCCTTCAGCCCCCAGGCCCATACCCCCCAATTCTCACTTGTTCCCTGTCGTGCCAGAGTAAGGCAACATCCATTTGCTCCCACCTGCTTCCTGACCTCCTTAAAGGGGCAGCACAACAGTCATTTAAGCACTGTGCTCTAAAATGTACACCCCAAGGAATTACAGCATTATGCACCAGCATAACTTTGCGCATAAAACATATGACTGTGCATAACTGCATAATATCGCATAATTCCCTCAGCTGTAGCTGGCGAGTGGGAAGGGGAGCTCCTGCCTGCAGGAGAAGCAAGTGGGTGGGTGTGGGCCACCCTGCCACATGCCACCATCTCATGGTGCACAGCTCCTGGCACCAGCAGCAGTAGCAGCCACCGCCACCGGTGGCGGGCTATCAGGGCACTCCTGGCCAGGACAGGCAGAGCCCCTGGTGGTACACAGCTGCAGCTGAGTGCCTGGGGCTACACATGGCTCCCGCCTGCAGTGTTGCAAGCCCCACACGCTGGTATGGAGCCAGCCTGGTCTGCCCCAAAAGCATGGGCCAGCAGGTCAAACTGGGCCAGGCCCATGCCACCACATGCAGTCATTTGGATTTGCTTGAGCCGTGCCCATCAGGGAGACTCTGCCTGCTGCAGCCAGGAGAGCCCTGAGGGTTTGCCAGAAGCAGGGACTGTGTGTGTGTGTGTGTGTGGGGGGGGGTGGGGGGGGGGGACAGGGAAGCCCACCCCCATCCACAAACCTCCCACACTCAACACCTTCGCAACCCCCCCCACCTCCCCAACCACGCTCCACACACAAATACCTGCATATATTTCTAAAGAAGGCTCAAGTAGTGTTATATTTAGTTTAATTTGTAAAAAGAATAAATACAATTAATTTTGCATAATTTTTGAGTTTGTCCATAAATTCCCCTGGGACGTAAAAATGGGCCTGATCTAACTTTACTCACATGAGCCCCCATTAATTTCAATGGCCACAATCAGCTTTGCAAGGTCCCCAGTTGATTTTCCAAAAGAAGCCTCAGGGACTCAAGTGTTTAGAGACAAATGACACGCAAAGGGATTCAGGCTCATTTAAGCAGCTCAGCCTGCTTTACTACACAAACAGGTGGCAAGTATCAGAGACAAATGAGCCCACAGCCAGCAGATATGCCCCCTAGGTAAACCACTGCCATTATCCATAGAAAAACCATTTTCAACCCATGAGGATCCAGGACAAAGGGTCTGTGATTTCAAGATGGGACATGGCATGACAAAGTATGTTGGGCTGTTAACAGCCTCTTGCTATGAAATGGGAAGAGCATCTAACCCACTTGGCTAGGGCCTGTGTAAAGGCACCAATGGCCATCAGAGCTTCTTTGTCCATTAAGGTTCAGCTGAACTAGCAGAATGCAGTCCAGCTCAATGCACTTATATGCAGAGCAGGCTCAGCACCCAATGCTAGGGTGCTGCAGATCAGGAGTAATGTGTATAGGCACAGGAGTGTAGAGTGCAAGGCCTGGGGTAATACAGCAGGGTTAGTGCTAAAGGGTGCTGGCAAAGTTGTGTTGACACAAAGGATTAAAGCAGGGGCTCATGGGCAGGATTAAGGTGCATCAGTACAGTTGGTGGATCCTCAGAGACAGGACAGCAAGGGCAAGGGCTGGGGACCAGTACTGTACATCAGTGGAAATGAAAGAGAAGCTCTAAAGCCAGGACAGTGGGAGGCTGCAGTTTGGGGTTGAGAGGCATCAGGAGCCAGGGCTGGGAGCTGTAGGCCAGTATGAGGTGCAACTGCTCTGTGGTGCTGAGGGCATCTTCAGTAGAGCACGCACCTGCTCATCACCCCTCTTCAGCAACTCTTCCCCACTATAGCCTCCAAAAATTTCAGAGTTGTCCAGCTTTTCCAAGCATTTCTACCAAGCCCAGAGTGAAAGGCCAGTCCAGTCTAGGAAGGGAGCAAGACAAGATGTCTCTACACCCAGCATAATCCACCACTGTCCCCACTGTTTCAATGCAAGCCACAGCTCCTGTCCTCATTACCTCTGTGTTGGAGTAATAAGTGTTCCATGTGGACCGCAGCGTCTCCTGCCCCCCAATGTCCCACATCAGAAAGTGGGTCTTTCGCAGGATGATCTCTTCCACATTACTGCCAATGGTGGGAGATGTGTGCACAACTTCATTCATCAGACTGGCAAGAGAGACAGAGATCAGATGTTACAACTGGCCTGTGCACTGCCCCAAGGGCACCCCTGAGGCTGCCTTCACCAATCAAAATCAAGGCACTAGGAAGCATGCCTCAACAGGAAGCCAATACTTCTGGAGGGGACTGAAGGCAGGAGGGTCCCATGGGCGAGGCACTGAACACACAGATACACACACCCTGGACACCTGGGTACAATCCTTGGCTCTCAGAGACCCCTCATGGACCTCAGGCAAAAGGCTTCATCTCTGATCATGTGGAGATGGCCATTCTTCCACCCCCAGGGCTTTGTCTTCTCTTTTGGGTCATAACATCCAAGGAGGTATGCAGTTCGGGTCCCCACATCTCGAAAAGGATGTAGTAGGATTAGAAAAGGTACAGGGAAGGGCAACCAAAATGATCTGGGGCATGGAGCAGTTGCCATACCAGAAAAGACTAAAAAAGGCTGGAAGTCTTCAGTTTGGAAAGAAGGCTGAGGAGGGGTAGGATAGAGGTCTAATAAAATTATGAAGGGTTTAGACCAAGCAAAGAGCGAACTGCTGTTCACCAAGTCCCAAAATGCTAGAATGAGGACGTAAGTACCCATTGAAACTAGTAGATAATAGGTTTAAAACTAGCAAAAGAAAATATTTTTTATGCAATGCATAGTTAGCTTCTGGAATTCATTGCCACAGGAGGTGGTGGAGGCAGATAGCATAGCCAGGTCCAAAAAGGGACTGGATAAATTCATGAAGGATAGATCTGTTAAAGGCTATTGAACATAATGGTTGGATATGTTTTCACTGGCATTTCTAAACTAGTAAGTGGTGGGTGCCAGGAAAGGTACTAAATAAGGGATAGGTCACCACTTTAGAGAGATCCAGTTCAATGCTCTCTCTCTATAGCATCCACTTCTGCCACTGTCAGAGACAGAATACTGGGCTAAATGGACCACTGGTCTGACTTGGTGTGACACTTATGTCCTTTGAGCAGGAACTGACACCCCTGGGTTTGTGCAACACCCAGCACAATGACTTCCCAGTCTCTGCTGGGTGTCCAGGTCTAAGAAAGAAACCACTTCAAGGGAAATCTGAGGCCTTGCTGCCTGCAAGAATCTGAAGACCACTGCCAAAAGCAGAGAAATCAGTGCCTCCCATTCTGCTAAGGCCCTTTCACAGCAGGGGGAAGGTGATTAGATCTAGCAAGAGGGCTCCTCAGGGACCCATTCATCTCTTGCCCCACCCTCAGAGAGCTGTTTGAATATGAACGGGAGGGAATACTCACAACTGATAGAGGATGGTGGTCTTCCCAGCATTGTCCAGGCCTACAATTATCACCTTGTGCTCTGCAGAACAAAGGAGGGAAAGGATCAGGGCTTAGAGAACCAGAGAAGCCCAACAGATGCAGCCATCTGATGGCAGGACCCTGCCAGGTGGCAGCTTTTATCATCCACAGCTTCCAGGGAGGGGGAAAACAGGCATGTTCTCCGACTCTGAGGAACGTTAAGCTAAGGCCACCTTGAAAGTAATATGGCCCAGTTCTCAGATTCAGGTTGGGGCTAGTTGAGCAGCAAGGGCACAAAACTTGCATGCAGAGAGGGGTGATCCTCTACGGCTCTGTGTCCCCGCTTCCTCTTTCACAAGACCACCCCAATAGTAACTTTCATTGTTTGAGGAAAGGAAGATGGTCACACATCCATTGTTAGGACACTAGCTAAGGGCTCAGGAGACCTGGGTACCAGGCCCAGCTCTACCACAGACTTCCATGGTGACCTTGGGCAAGTTCCTTAGCTTCTCAATAGAACATGGGTAAATTCCTGTCTCCTAGAGGACTGCAAGGATAAATACATTAACGACTGCAGGGCACTTTGGGGACTACAGGACCCGAGGCCAGGTAAGTGCCCTAAATGTGCCAGGGCAGGGACGTTTACAGAGATCCCAAGTGACTTTGATCCCAGGGCAAATCAAGCAGAACAACAAACAGGCCAAGCAGCCCTGTGTGCTGGAAAGAGGGGCTGGCTTGGAATGCGAGGCATGTCTGGAAACACAATGCACTCTGGCATGCTCTGATCATCTCCTATTTCCCTCTGTGCTACTGACACCCAACTGCTCTGCAGGGCCCCTCATGTTCTTCCCACTGCCCTCAAACACGGTGCTGCTGGGACCCCTGCCCGGAGCAAAGGCAGACAGCTCCAGGACAAAATTCCTGCACTGTGCCGGCAAAGCAGTCAGCCGAGGGCATGCGGAGGGGAGAGGAGATTTACCTCAGAGCCTCAGCTCCGGGTCAGGGCACTAAGTTGGCAGGGAGGAGGAGCTGCCACTTCAGACTGCCAGCCACACTGGGTGTGGGAGGAAAGGCCTTTTGCAAAGACCAGTGGCTCAAATGCACCTCATTTTAGACAGGAACAAACAGTCTGGCAGCGACATCCATGCAAGAATAAAAATAAATTCCTGGGGGCAGGGAGAGACCCTGAGTAGGGGGAAGGAAACCAGCCATCTGCCTGTCTCTGTGTCCAGACAAGTTACAATTAAAGGAAGCCGGTTTCTCTTCAGACACAAGCCCTCACTGCCTCACACAATGTGCTCCAGGGCAGCATTGTCTCCAGAGACATTTCTCAGAGCTCTGGCCAGAAGTCTGCCTCCTCTGCCCAGACTTCGAGAGTCTGGCTCAGGGGGGGCATCCAGTTCCAGGCCCAAAAGGCTTCCTTTCTCACCCCAGGGGCAGGAAAGCCAGTGCTCCTGGTAGCAGAGCCTCAGCTAGGCTGGGGGAGAAGCCCAGTGCCTCCCCTGCCCCCACCAGCAGGGAACCCCACCAGCTGCACTCCAGCGGAAGCACCAAGCCCAGGGCCTGGTGCAGAGCTCAGCACCCCCCTCTGCACCCTCCCCAGCACCGAGAAGTGTTGAGCAGAGAGGATCTTCTCTGCCCGGGGCAGATCCCAAGGGGCTTTGGGGAGGGTGGGGGGGGAAACAAATCCAAGCTACTGCCTGAAGATCCCAAGCGCCAGGAGGTAGCCCCAGAGCCCAAAGCCTCCGCCCTGCCCCAGTGGCAGCCCCAGGCGGCGGGGCCGGGGCAGAAGGGGAACAGGGGTCTCCCAGCGGAGCTGCCCCTTTGATCTCTCCCGGCTCAGCAGGCAACTAACTTTCATCTGGGGCTCAGCTCGGCCCCGGCACCACAGACATCCCCCACAGCAGCCCCCATCTCCTGCATGCACCCGCCGCCCCAGCCCGGAGCGCCCCAGGCCCAGTCTCTCCGGGGTGGGGGCAGGGGCTCCCGATGCAACCCCCCTGGGCTCCGCTACACCCCTGAAGAGCGAGGGGCGCCGGGTCCTTACCCTGGTTCCCAAAAATGCCCATAAGCTTGGCCAGGAGCTGCCCCATTGCGCCACGCCGCACAACCGCCCCCGCCGCCCGCAGCGGACTGAACCGAGGGCTGGCGCCCGGCCCCTTACATAGATATCCTTCGGTGACGTAAGCGGGGTGGCCCCGCCCTCTCAAAGACCCCGCCCCTGGGGGAATTCCAATACGCTACGCTCCCGGAGTGATGCGTCACCGGAGTGGGCGGAGCCTCGGAGTGGCAGGTGGTAGATCCGCAGGGCTCCCCCCAGCCCTGTCCTCTAGGGACCCAGCGCAGAGGGCAAGGCCGGAGCAAGCTTTGGGGTGCAGGATCCCGCACTGCATCTGGGTGTCTCTTCAGCCTTGTTGGAAGGGGCCAGTTCCAGAGGGTTTGGGACTTGTGTTCATTTACCCATTTAGGAGTGAATGGGAATTGCCCCGCCTGATTGCTTGTGGGCCCCCTCTTTGCATCCCCCTGCTCTTTCTAGCCTTAGGCTGGAGCTCTCTGGGGCCACTGTATTCTGTTCTGTGTCTGTCCTCGGAGGCAGCAGTCCCTCCAGTGGAGGATAATCTCTACCATGGCTCATTGATGGGTCTTGAGGTGACTGAAGAGTCCAATCCTTGAGCTGCAGATCTGCTTGCAGAAGTTGCAGGTCTTTCCACAGGGGAGAGTAGGCTGCAGCCTGGGATTCATCTCCTTTTCCTTCCTCCACTCTCCCTTCCCTGCTTCAAGGGCAAGCCACTTTACCTCGAAATGGGCTACCACTTGGTTGAGGTTGTGACGCCACTGGAGTTGCTTAGCAGCCAGCTCCTCCCAGCTCTTGATGTTGGCATCTGTTTTCTTGAGGTGTGCCTTCACTTTCCGTTCCAGGCATCGCTGGAGCCCTCAGCCCTTCCTGGAAATCCTAATCTGTTCTGCACTGAACAGAAGAATACTACAAAAATCTCCCCACCAGCCACCATCACCTTTCCCCCCGTGATCATCCCAGTTGCAAGGCAGTCCAGGGATTTTACCCTAAGAAAGACACCCATGATTCAGATTTTCAGAACCTCTGATGGCCAGAAATATAGCCCACACCTCTGCCTGGATCTGTCTCTCTCACAAGGGTTCTCTTGCATGTTGCTTCTAGATGGGTCAGCAAAGCTTGGCAGAGGACTTTTTTTACCCAAAGGTAGAATGTCCTGGGCAGTGTTACCCAAATTACAGGTAACCTTGTGGATAAGCTACTGATTAAAGGCAGAACAGGCTTACAGCCCAACCTTTTATTTGCTTTCACTTTAAAACATGAAAACATCCCAAAATCTATCTGACTCCTTGTGACAGCACAACATAGATTCTCACCTATACCAGCTGGGGAGACTTGAGAGGTGGGAGGAGGGCCACACACAGATTGGAAGCAGGTTTTCTTGAATTTGCGAAGTGCTCCAAATTTCCCAGCAGCCTATGCTCTTTATAGATGGTTTGGAGCCATTTATAGATGGTTGGTTTTAATATTCTAATAAATTATCTCTGATTGGTTTTATTTAATTTTCTTTGTTTCAGTGAAACTTTTGGAACTGGACTGAATCAGATCTCTTGTGGATTTGGAAGGTATCAATTATTTGGGATTTATATCCTTGGGAAAGAGGAAGGGTTTCTTATCTCCTCTCCTTTCCCATTGTGGAATCTGCTTTGTTTCATCTTTAGTGTATGGTCTTCTCTGACAAGGCTGTTTTTGTTTTTACAAATTATCAAAGCAGTTTAACAAAAATATATCTATTATAGTAAAATAAAATAACATATAATACATTTGGTGACATCAGTCACTACTACTACTATTTTAAGATAAGGCTATGATACAATGGATATGGATTATTTAATGCATGGTCTTCCCTTTTCTCCTTTCAGGCCTTCTGCTTTGTTTAATTGTGTTTGATGGCTTCCTTTACTTGCTGACCAAGTTAATTGTCACATCTGCAAAGATTCACACTGTGATCACTCAGAAACAGGCTTTGGGCCTTCTGCTTAGCAACACTTCTGCAGCTTAGCCTAGGCCCCTTGAAAATGGACAAGGCTGGCAACAACAGCATGAAAATCAAATTAAATCCCTTTGCATGACTGGTGGGAGAGGAAAGTTGCTTGGTTTTGCAGATGGCCCAGTCCAGTTTTTACTTAGTGGAAACTCATGCAGCTAAAATAAGCTTTTGAAACCAAAACTATGGTAGCAAACATCTGGGAGAAACACCTACCCAGAAAACCCCTGGGGACTGACCCACACAGCTGCTCCCTGTCAGCAAATATTTAACAGCAGTACAAATATTGGGAACCAAGCCAGGCTTCCCTTTAATGTTCCCTGGATTCCAGGTCCTTTGCTGACAGATTGGGCTTTGAACTTTCATCCACCTTCCCTCTTTTTTTACAAAATCCGGCACAGTCTGAGGCCTGGAAGAGGGGAGTTAAAATCCACAGCAAACGGAAACAGCGTGGGAGTGTGTCCTCCTCCAGCCTGCAAAAAGCTGGCATTTCTAGTGGGAAAATCTGTCTGGGGCAACGTTTTTCTTCACCATTCATGGGCAAATTACTATAAATAAATAGGCTGAGGGGAGGGAATAGCATTTATTATTTCCACTTCAG